AAACCGACACGATCTCAAAATTAACGTTAATACACAATTTAGCAAGAATGTGATTTTATTCAATGCTGGGGACTTCAGTGTGTGATCTCAAATGCATGTTGTTCTGGTTGTTATTTCAGATTTTGTTAATAAGCGAATTTATTGGATGAAATATGACACGGGTGACTTGAAATCTGCTTTGTATAATGGGTCTGACGTCAAAACAAAAGAACCAATGTTTTATCCAATAACCGGGACAATGATATCGGGGATGACTTCGTCTTCTACACTAGTTCTAATAACATTTTAAAGTTACACAAATCTTCAGGACAAATTCCAACTGGTATTCACACAGAACGAATACAGATCTATGGAGTTTTATTTTATAAACAAGAAGGTAAGAATATATCAGTGATTAAGCAAAGAAACTTTATTGTTCATTTCAATGAATAACATTATTTACCCGAGACAATTATAATTACAATGAATTACATGTATAAATAATGTTTTACAGTAAATGATTAGCATCATCGACCGAGGCATAACTTTACAATTTACCGTTCAGAATTTTGAACTCAAACTTATCATTTTCAAATAAACACGAAACTGAGAAAAGACAGACAACGACAAATCATAAATTGTAGAAATAAAACATTTATTAAACTGCTATTTTCTGTTTCAATATTATACATTTTGATTGGTCCAATTCATATTATAATGTAATAACAAAATGTGTTGTACTAGTGCTATTGCAGTTGTATCAATAGTTGTTGTTGTTGAGTGTTGTTAAAAGATGAAATCCTTTTAAATACCAACAATGTTCATGGAAGCCATCCTTAACTCGTTTGTAATTGTATGTAGGAATCAAGAAAATGTAAAAAAAAAAAAAAAAATAAGCAATCGATTTTTGTAACTATTTATCATATTGATTGTCGGATATTTCACATCATTTTTCATTACTATGGGTACTAATATACGCTTTCAAGCTATATATGTATCAGAACGCTCTACTAGTTCCAACCATGTATGCTTCTGCAAATGTATGCTTATGCAAATGTATGTTTACGCGAATGTATGCTTATGCAAATGTATTTTTATGAGTTATATACGCTTATTTATTTATTCATTCGAATTTTCAGTTTTCAAAAAATGCATTTCTGATATTGTCTAATAGTTTAAATTCAAGTGATTACGTGTTTAAAATTCTTTTTGAATTAATTGATATAATGACTGAAACATAATGCATAAATGTTCTAACCTATACTACGTGTGTACATATAATGTTATCAATAAGCAATTAAATTTGTTGAAGGGTTTGATTTTTTTTATACCTTTACAAGTTGGAAAACATATGCCATACATTTTAAATATGTTGTCATTTATTTTGTTTTTGACAAATGTTATATGACTAAAATGAGTGATCATATATAGTCGTACAATGAAAGGTTAGTAATATTAAAATTACTGATATGCATTAAAAGGGCACCATCTCCACTATACTATGTTTCACCAAATTAAATGTATGAAATAATCCAATCAATTTAATGTATTGAGTAAAATATTTTTTTATATTTTCATGAGCAAATACTATTTAAGTTATCATATATCGTTAAACGATTTCTAAACGTTCGCTTGTTTTATTATTCGTATTAGTAAATGAGTATTATATACAATACATGCACATTCGCTTTACACTTTAATGTACGAAAGTCCTAAACTCTTCAAACATGTCGCCCAACATGTGTTCAGAAACATTTATCATTCTTAGAAAAATATAAGGAATATATTTATCAATATTGATCATTGATAAATGTAAAGTGTGTCCATTGTTGTTGCTTTTTTTTAATTTTAAGCGACTTTTCGCTTTAACAAACTTTTTTTGTTTTTTCATTTTAATGCATATATTGAAACCACAAAAGGAGAAAAGCGAATATAGAGAATTGTGGTTGGAAATTCTCTTTGGTGTCAATAAATCTACGAGTAGAAGACAAGGAAGAAACGAGCATTTTACAAAAAAAAAAAAACATAGTAAGTATATTGAGCTAGGCAACAATAGTTTTATTGTATAACACGAATATTTCGAGTTTGTTTTCAAAAAAGGGAGTATCTTATAGTTGATGTGCTTCCCTCGGTTTTAGTTTTTAACCCGGATTTGTTTTCTCTCAATCGATTTATGACTTTCGAACATCGGCATACTACTGTTGCCTTTTTTTATTATTTTGAAAGTATTTACATGTTATACAAAATTTATAAAAATAAATCGTATCTTATTTTATAAATAAATTAATGTCATTCACCGATACATGTCACTCTATCCGGATATTTAATAAATACTATTTTGATATGAACAAAAACTATTTTAGTTATCATATGTTGTAATACGATTTATTATCGTTCGTTTTGTTTTGGTATTCATATTTGCAAATGAGAATTATATACAATACATTCGCTTCACACTTTAATGGACGAAAGCCGTAAACTTTTCAAACATGTCGCCCAAAATGTGTTCACAACATTTATTATTCTAAGAAAACTATAAGGAATAACTATCAATATTGATCATTGTTAAATGTTTAATGTGATCATTGTTCTTTTAAATTTAAGCGACTTTTCGCTTTAACAAACTTTGTTTTTTTTATTGTAATGCATATATTGAAACCGCAAAAGGAGAAAAGTGTGGTTTGAAATTCGCTTTGGTGTCCATAAATCTACGAGTAGAAGACTATCAAGAAACGAGCATTTTACAAAAAAAAAAAAAAACATAGCAAGTATAATGAGCTAGGCAAAATAGTTGTGTTGTATAACACGAATATTTCGAGTTTTTTTTCAAAAAAAAGGATTATTTTACTATTTTGAATGTATTTTCATGTAATACAAAATTTCTAAAATTAAATCGTATCTTCTTTTATAAATAAATCAATGCCATTCACCGATACATATCACTCTATCCAGATATCTAATAAATGCTATTTTTATATGAATTTCAATGGCATGGCATGTATGGAAAGCCAACACGAGTCAAAATTCTTAATTCGTTAATTGTCAATTTGTACCATGTATCTTTGAAATTTCAAAATTCTTAATTCGTAAATTGTCAATTTGTAACTTGTATCTTTGTAATTTCAAAATTCTTAATTTGTAAATTGTTAATTTGTAACTTGTAACTGTGTGTTTTCAAAAGTCTTTATTGGTAAATTATCAATTTGTATATTGATGTTTTGTAACTTGTAACATGTCGATTCGTGAAATGTCGATGTGTGAAATGTCGATTTTTTTTAGGTTATAAGCCTCCTGTAAGTTGGTGCACCTCCATATGAAATATATACATAAGTAATTTAAATCAATTATGTACAGAACATACATATAAAAGAAAACAAATAGATAAATACATTGTTTGTTTCATATGGAGTGTATACCAGGGACACGGTTTTATATAAAGGTGATGTCGAATAAACATGTAGTTATAAATAATTACGAATTTTGAAATAACAAAGATATAAGTTACAAATTGACTATTTACGAATTAAGAATTTTGACCCCGTTGGCTTTCCATAGCCATGATCATGTACTTGGTATAGTCCTAATTATAGTATATTTCAAGTTTATTTATAGTTTTGCCTAACCTGTGAAAAGATACAGAATATTTAAAATTTTATCTTGAAATTTATACATTTCATTATAATTTCAACAAGTGAGGAGGCCAGGAAGAACAATATAATATGTTATAAAGCTAATACTATAAAAGTAAACTGCAAATCCAAAAAGTCTGCTGAATTATAATGCGCATTCTTCACGTTCAAAAATCTCAGTTTAAGAAAAATTAATTTGAGGATCCGTAATATCTTTACATGTCTTAACATTTGAGAATGCCACGTTCTATTGCAGAACAACCGGAATTAACGATTTATTAAACAATTATTGATTTAAATCTTATATTAATTTTTTGCTTAGTCAATCATCGAGTCCTTCGTTTCTCCAATAGTTTTAAATCAAATTTGACAGTATCCATACAAAATAACATCTTCTTCACTGTTTTAATGTAACATACGCGATGCCATCAATTTTTTCTTGACTTGTTTTTATTGTTTTTTTTTAAGTCATAATATTCAGCGTCATTAGTAATATATTAAATGATATTGTTTGTTGAATTGATTACTTGGTTTCTTTTGGAAATAGCATCAACTAAATTTTATGGACATTATCTGGACATCGTGTAATATCTGCATCAAAAATGTTCCATTTAATATAGCCCTCCTATTGATCTGTTTGTAGGTTGCGTTCACAAGATACTATACGCTGGTTTAACTCCTCTCCATTTGAACTCTGTTATTATTCATTCGTTTGGTGTGTTTTGGTTTTTGATTTTGCCATTTAAATACGGACTTTCACTTTCACTCTTGAATTTTCCTCGGAGATCGGTATTTTTGTTATTTAATTTTTGGGTAGTTATCTCAGCACAAATCACACTATTCAATTTCTTATATATTGGGTAATTTGGGATTTTTGTTCACAAATAAGATCACTAGACCCTCCGAAAAGATGGAACAGAGGTCTTTAAAATCTTAATCAAATGAGATTTGCTACATCATTCATTCACTGTCGTATAAATGACAGCAGTCGTTTTTCTTTCATAACATAAACGGAATTTCCCAACGAACTTAACTGATAAAGTAACACGCACAAAAAAAAAGGCAATTGCTAATAAATTGCTGCTGACCAGGCAAAGTGTGACTTTTAATCATTGGCTCTTGGTACACGTCACGCAATTACAAGACGAGGCTTTCTGCGCAACATGATTGAAACCTTGAAATTCACATTCCAATAATAAATGGTGTTTTAAGTATATTGCATCATCATGATCATAGAATGATGATTAAAAGAAATGTTTTATACAAAATTGATAATTTTGTATAAAAGAAATAGATGCATGTTAACTATGCTTAGAATCTATCAATAATGTGTTTTGTCTGTTTTTTAATGTACTATTTTAATTCAACTTATTATTTTGCATGCACTGTTAGATGATATACTTTGGCGAAAAACTATCTAACAGACAGGTATACAAACTAATATTAGAGGGAAAGAAATTTTCATTATAATAAAGAAACTAACAACAAATGTGTTCGGTATAGGAGTATAGGTATGTTTAACTATTGAAACATTCAAAATGAAAATACTATTAAATGAACTGTAAAATCGCTAAACTACTGTTTCTTATATCTATTTTGAAAAAGGTTAATTTTAATTTTGTATAGGTTGATTGCATCAATTGTATTAATGATTGCATTCATGAAATTCAATTTTTATAGTATTGATATATGAAAATAAGATCATGCTGCCAAAGAGACAACTATCTACCAGAGAATACATGGCATGGATGTAAACATATTTTTATATAGAAAACCTTAAGACATACAACATTGATCAAGATATATCAAATATATCAAAACAATTCAATTAAAATCTCCACAGTCTGCTTTTAGAACAAAAAAATTTAAGGAAAAACTAATATGATAGACAGCAACGCACGACAATCACTGATCCCAATGTCCTGACTTAAGGCAATCACATACAGAATATGGCAGGGTGCATATGTTTTCTATAGCTCAATCCGTCCGTAATGTGGGAGAATGCCGTAACAGCATAAGAACAAACTGTAAAAATATGCTTGACTCATCAGATCGATTTTAACCATACATAAAAAAAAAAATTAAGCAAAACACTAAAGTCTGCAAATCTCTCCAGTTGCGGTTTGTCTGTCTCCAGTCGTCTGCAATGTTCAGTCGTGAAAATCTAAAGAAATGTTTTGTGATTTTAATTTTCTATTTAGAAAGGTTACATATACTAAAGGGATATCCAAACTCACAAATCAAAAAACAAACTTATAATGTCCTTGCAAAGCAATAAAACAACACACAAAGACAATCAACAGTACACAAAACACAAAAAAAGAAAACAAAAGATAGAACTATGCGAACCTAACCTATAATCGAGGGTGATCACATGTAAAGGTATCAAAATATGTTTGTATTTGTATGGCTATTATTACCAACATCAGTAATGTAATCAAAAGGCAAAAGCATGATAAATTTTATCATCTTAATATTTTCCTTTCAGAAAATAGACAAACGACTACCAACTACAAAACAAATCATACAAAGTCATCCAAAAGGGTTAACTATATGAAACTGTTGGATATCAAAATTGTTTGATGTAAACTATTGTTATTAGTCAACATATGTATCAACTACTGTATCGATTGTCTTCAGAATCGTAAACCAGGTTCTAATTATGACTTCGTTAAAATAACTCTCTGAAGTTATTAGATTCAACCTGTATGCGTTGCTCTGACGAAATAATCTACCTCGTGTTTCAATGTTCAATTTTGACATCATAAGAATTTTTTGTCATGTATTCAAATTTAGCATTTTGTCGTTTTTATGATACCACACAAACTAATAATGCTGGTTGCGAAATGTTTCTATAGTCGACTCATCACTTCCCCTTAAGATAGTTGAAAGACCAAATCAAGTACACAGTTGATGAAAGTTGTAACCAAAACACTTGAACAGGAAAATGAAATCCATTGATGCATAATAGAATATAAAATTGCATTGTATTATCGACATAGAACTGTGCTGCGATTGATATAAAAAATGAAGTCAGATGATGGTTTTATATATTCATTTGAAATCATCATAATGATTTTTGTCATTTCAAGACATTAACCTCATCATATATACCAGGGTTAAACTTTTGTCTATCGTCAACAACTAAAGAGAAAAGTTTATCTCTGAGCATACAAAACTAATGAAAATTATAACAAAGTTTAAATGAATTTCATTAAATCATTCCAATAACACGAGACTTATCTTACAATTGATGAAAACTTCTTGTTGCACCCGTAGTGATAGAGAGCTGATTTATATTTGTCTCGTGTCTCATGTTGTTTGATAACTCTGTTAATTTCGTATTGTATTATGTTGCTGTTGTTGCAAACATGTTGTGCCCGAGTGTTAAAATAACAAAGACGCATTTATAAATGTGTCATACATGATATGTGCAAACATCAAATTTAAAGATAACTGTACGCATGTGTAAATGATTGTTTTCCATTTATTGTTTTCTGATCTGAACTATATTCAAATATACAGTATTGTTTAGCACAGTAAATATACATAGCAATGAGCACATTATCGAAACAGCAATGTCATAGGCGTCACGTAAATTTGGGAGGAATTTTGTGATTAAAACTTGTTAGGTTGATTAATTATATTTTTGAAATTGTCTTTCTTATATATTATTCATTAAAAATTCTTATACATGTTGTATTTGAGTACTGTAATCTGCCAAAATACTCTTTATTATTCTTTAAAAGTCGTTTTAAATGATGTGAATATTAATTTTATTTATTTTCTTATATGCTTTGTCTATATGGCTTTTTGTGTTTCTTTGATTCATATGACGTGGCTCTGTACTTATACATCCCGTTATTGTGTTATTGTGACATGGTGAATGTTTGTTTAATGTTTGTTTGTTTTATAGTGATAAAGATAATAACACAATGTTGACTGTTGTACCCATATTTTTGACATGTTTGCCTGTTGTGTCTGTTTAATTTGTTCACACATCGTTGTCAATATAATGGCATGGTATGCAAATGTCATACAAGTGAGAGGTTTAGCTAGCTTTAAAACCAGGTTTAAACCATCATTTTCTACTTAAGAAAATGCCTGTTCCAAGTCAGTAATATGACAGTTGATGTCCATTCGTTTGATGTTTTTGGGCTTTTGATTTTGCCATTTGAAAAAGGACTTTTCGTTTATTGTTGCATCGAAAAGGTTCATTATTTATGATTCATGAACATTAGTTTTATTTTTAATTTACAAAAACAAAAATATTGCTTGTTCTTGTTCATCAAGATTGCAAATGAGACAACTCTCCACAAGAGACCAAATGACACAGAAATTAACAACTATAGGTCATCATACGGCCTTCAACTACTTTTTCTCATTGGCAATCAAACCACATCTTCTTCTTTATATTTGGGATTTGACATTTTATTCATAAAATATACTACAGATTCTTATATTCATCAGTCATGTCAGTACAGTCCCAAAGTCACAGTTGTTCATTTAATGCGTATAATGCTCATGCTAATAGTTATTGTTACCATGACTTTTACTTTTAAGGTTCTTATTATTATCTTATATTAGAAGTATTGTATCTATTATCATTATGTTTCAACTGACAATAAAACATTTTCAAACATGTAGAAAATCGTTGTATGTGCTCATGTAGCTTAAATGATTTAACTCTATACTTATTTTGAGTCGTCCTTAGCACGACTACTCGGTTGAGTAAAAGTTTTCCTATTAGAATTTTCATATGACAATCAACTATATCAAAGTTAACATACACACAGACCCTACAACATGTACAAAACATAAAAATAAAATACTATAAATACTAGTGCAAAGAAACTTTACTCTGTTTTGTCTATGAAACAGATACATTTTTTTTAATCTATCAAGGAGCACAACTTCTGGACGACAAAAAAATGAAAATCGTCAATTTCAAACTTGACCAGCATTTGTTCATCAGTATCAGAATATTATGTGACGATTTTTACCAATTTGTTAATGTGATCTGGCCTATATTATTGAACCTATGATAGATAGACTGTACAAAATTTAAAAGCAATCATCATCAGCAAGACATGATATACAAATAAAGCAAGTTACAGCAATCGTAAGTTGATTCCTTGTTGATGATATTAGAGATTTTCAATTCTTGAAGATGCACATAGACCTAGTTGAGCGAGTTATGCTACTTAGAGCTTCTGGTTATATACGGATCCTTCAATCTGTTTGTCTTATATTGAGATGATATATGACACCAACTTATTTAAATTTATAAAAGATGTTTCATTAAAAAAAATGCAAATGGTACATATATGAAAAACGTCTTTTAGATAAGCAACTAGGTTAAACTTTGTATTGCTAAATTCTTGGTACTAATACTTTATTCATAGAATTTACAATACGTGATTTCTGCACTTATGATCGGGAAATCAAGTCTTTTCCTGTCTTGGATCTAAACTAACGTGCCTTGAAAACTTTGCTTTCGAAGGATATTTATATATGCATGTGTGATTCGACGTGAAAATGCTAAAAGAATTTACCATTTACGAAATAAAAAGGCTGAAATCACAATGTTTTGAATCCTATGCTAACTAATGCATTGCTTCTTTCAAAAAGGAATGTTCGTGTATTCAATCTTTCTCTTTTTTAATATATATGTATATACTAGCAATGTGCCGTACCAGAACCAGAAGTTCACACCAACACCCCTTCACTAGAAAACAACACATGATATAGTGATCTCATTCATTTCTGATTTTCTTAGGTATCACCCTGAACGGCAGCACTTCTTTAATCCAATACGGTATTTATATAGCCTAATGCTTTGTTGTCGAGTAATTTTTTATTCAACTTCAATCAAATGCCACTATAGATTATATTGCAGTCGCGAATTTCTTGTACACAACAGCTGCAGGCGATACATGTACCTATCACAGCAGCACGGATAAAGACTTCAGTGATACATTTTTGTTAATCTTGATGTTTATAATGAGTTGATACTACTATTCGACTGCAATGCTGCTACTTTTTATCATTATTCCGTAAAATATACAAACTGAGTTCGATGAAAGTTTTGGGGTTTCCGATGATAAAATTTAGTAATGTGTGGCATGACAGCAATGTATATTAGTTTAATACAATATATCTAAATTAATATTTCTAAATTAATTTGATATGCACACATTCGTTAAACTAGATTTTTCAGTGTTAGTAAAGGCGTTTGTTTGCAAAAATATGGACTAGAGTATATCTAAACTCATTCACATCAAATGATGTTCGTTATGGACTGTTCCCAAGATTGAGAGTTTTCAGCGCAAACAAATGTTATATTGATTTATTTACCATCATTGCCTTTGAATAAGTTTGAGACTAATATATGAACTGGGTATATATAGTAGCATACAAAACAAACGTTGCATATATGTAAAATTACATTGTTTGATGATTAATCTTTCCGATAAAAATATCTTTGAATAACATTTCGTATCTATTCAAAAAAAGATGAGACCCGAATTTTTTTTTTTATAATCTTAAGACTGTTTTCTTGTTAGTACAACACTAATAGTTAAGCCATGTGTCTGCTTCTGAACTAAAAACGTAACGATTCCTTGTAATAACTCGCAATTGAGAAGCCTGCCGAATGAGTCATTTACTAATGCAATGAAAACAAATCCATTTTTAAAGAACAACATGAAAAAACAGCAAAAATGAAGAATTCGTCATCTAGAATATATTTTTAAACAACATAATTTATATGTTTATATTCAATGTTTACAAGATATTCACAAATTTAACTTGAAATACATGTATGAAATGATATATATCTTGAAATTAATGTGAGATAAAATAGTTGATAGTTATCAGGAAATGTGTACTATAGGACGTTTTAAAGACATTTCAGATAAATATTTAATTAAGGTTTGTTCATTTGTGAGAAATAAGGTTGAAGAGTAGAGTACCGGACTAGGGATTGCTCTATCAGATCTCTGTTACCATTATGTCATGTCTATAATATTTCTTATCTTTCAAAATTATAATAAATCTGTGTAGTTGTACCAATGTAGATACAGCCTAGTTCTTGGTAAGGTAATGTTTATTAAATTCCAAGATCAATAGCTTGCATCATTATGTTGACACTATGGTGTGACAAATTTGTCTACATTATTAGAGATGATTTTCATTCCAAACGAAACTACATAACAACCTCAACTTTTGTTTAGTTATTGAAGTTCGCTTTTCATCAAATGGCTAATATTGTATATGAATATTCAGCACAGCACATTATTATTTACTTTCGTTTTATTGTATTAAGTGCATATATAAAATCATTTGTAGCCTGTTTGATTTTCTGGTTTTAAATCATGCTCAAACCAATCAGAATTCTACAAAAAAAAAATAATGTAAATTAACTTAAAATAGATATAATGAAAATATATAATTCTCAAAAGAAGAAAACTCTTACGGGTACATTAAAACATATGTCTTATCATTACACAAACTCTACATTTATCAATAAAAGTATAATGTATTGTTTTTACTAATTAATTTTAAACACATTGCTTTTATTTACTCGGAGATGCCTTGTATTAACAACAAAAACAATGTGTCGTGTATGCCAGTATGGCTATTTGCAAACAAAAAAGTTATCGTAATTGTAAATAATAATTTGCATATCAAAAGTATCAATGACATATAATAATTTGAACAAGTAAAGAATACAACCAAAACAACCCATTTTACAGTATAAATCCATTATTCTTGTTTGTACTCGTTCTATATAAGTATAAGACATTCGTTCGTTTTCGTCAAAGTCTTTCCCTAAAATATACAAAACGCAATAAAAACAATGTAAAATGTACACCGCTATTTTCAGTGTGTTGTTCAGATTTTAATAAAACACATGTTCACAATATAACGAAGTCCATTTTTTCAAACTTAGTGAATCTCGCCATAACATAAGTTTTATGACAGCGTTTCACATCAAACACAATTCTAGAAGGGGTAATTCAATATATGATTTCATAAATATTGTTATCAAAAGTTCAATGTTAATAGCATTACAATGTTTTGACAACAAACAAGCTTTTTAAACTCATTATGATGTGGCTTTAAATATTCTTAACAACATAAAAATAACATTTGGTGAAATATACATTGTCACAATCTATGAAAACCAAAACAGTTGAACGTATATTAGCAAGTATCTGCAATTAGGAAAGCATTTGTTTTAAAACAAATAAAAGCTTCAAAGCGTTAGTTATTAAAACACGTGGAACCAGCATAACATAATCATCTTAAAATCGAATAGATATAACACACACTACAATGTTTTAAAAAATATAGGATACAAAACTTCAGAACATTGTCACACTTGTTTACTGGCTTTAGATCATTATAAGGTGTTCACTTTCATGCAAATATTAACATACATTAAAAAGCATCAAACAAAAACGATTGCAACTATACTATTTACGTATTCTTTAATTTAGAATGAATCGTTTAGCTGCTAAAGTATAAAAAAAAACATATTATGATTTGTAGAAATTCATTATAATATGTAAGAGATATCAACTAATGCATATATTCTTTCAGCGTAATATTGTTTTTCAATGAAATGATAAATTTTAAAACAATTCGGTCAGACATGTATTCTTACCTTGGTGCTTATAGAACAAAACACCATAAATCTGTGCTGTATCTCTGTGAACAACAGTCAGAGTGTGCCCTACAGATTTGGCAATCTTAACAATTGAAACCGAGCTTGAATAGAAGATAAAATCATCATTGGTATCAAGGCCCCAATTGTTACGCAAATTGGTGCTTACTACGGTTTGGACATCCGATCCATTATACCAAGCAGATTTCAAGTCGCCAGTCGAATATTCATTCCAATAAAGTCGCTTATCGATAACGTCTAAAATGAAAACAACACAACAGGCATAACAGTTTTATCAGTAAAAGCTGTGTTTACTTGCTGAATTCCTTTATAATGGTGTGAGAACTTGAAAGGTATTTTACTTTTTGAAAGATTACCATGCATATCTTCTCGCATATTCGATCATTTAGATGTATGCAGTCTTGCAGGAATACAATTATTTGTAAAATAAACTCATCATAGATACCAAACAAAAAATTATGCAGACAGGATGAGCGTTTTGCATACACCAGTGACACTCGAAGTTGAAATGCAGAATAAAGTCCAAAGTTGAAGAGCATGGTGGACACGAAATTCCGATGGTTAATAAGTAGCTTACATGTTTAATTCGTGAGCACCACCGGACGAATAGATCAAGATCAACACATGATTTCTTTCGAAATCCCGGTTTAACTAATAACCTTTACATACTTGTAATTAGTTTTTTATATTTCTTCTACGTTTAATAGATACAACGGGCTCATATGAGCTAGACATACATATTTCCTTTTTTTTCTTTCTTTAGATATCTATTACATACCTACTTGTATTCCATACGTCAGTAAAGACTGGTTATATATAACTCGTCTTTCTTTTCCGTCAAATGTTATTCTGTATATCTTTCCGTTATATTGATCCTGACCATAATATATCCATCTAACAATGGCATACACAATTTCATTACATAACCAAATACATAAATTAACGTGTATGTTGCTTCTTATGGAAACAGTTTTCGCCAAAAAAATACCTCTTAATTGGTTCTTTGCAACATTTTAACGTCGCAATAACAACAATTTAAAATGATTCCGCTTAAATTATGTACTATCTAAAAATAATTTCAAGTACAACATTTATTGCACATTGCAATTACGTTTATCTTATTGTCCCTTAATAACAGAACAAAAGAAGCATAAAAATGATAACAAAGTAGAAAAACTGGTTGAATGACTGACAATTTCGTTGATATGTTATAACTATTTGTTTTTTATATTTGTTCAGTGTACAGAAAACGACGATTTATGCAATTGATATAATGCATTTGTCATGTTCAGGACGTTTCGGAGTTAATTACGCAAAATATAACTATCGGTAAAACATAAATGTATAAATAAAACATAGTATAAAACATGTAAAGATATAATTCCTAACTAATTAATTAGTAATGGAATGTAAATATTTTTTAAGCGCAGAAAGGTTACACGTGTCTCAGTGTATCATGTACAACTGATTGAAAATTCAGTATAAGTGGTATATCAAAATTACGCAGTGTAGTTTATATTATCAACATATTATGTGTTCTCAAAGTCAAAATAACTCACTGATTCCGGATATTGGCAGTAAAACTTAATATTGAATAATAAATTGTTTAAATGTTAAATCATACTGATATAAACGAAATTGTATTATGACAATAAGGATTGTTGTGTTCATAATGTATGGTGAAAACTTGCTCTAGCTACGTTGTGTTTGTTAACATACATCTACTAAATAATATTCCATAAACACGATACATTGGAATTTCTAAAACATATCGATGCTTTAATGTACTAAATCAACTCAAAATCGTTATAATATTGTTATGTACAAAAATACATAGACAAACGTTATAATGATTAAAATGTTTGGATGCTTTTATGTGTATTACTAACATATTGTGTTATTCTGTAAACAAAATTAAAGTGCAAAAAGATGATTCAGTCAAAAAATAAGATGATTCAGTCAAAAAAAAAGATGCTTACCTTGTCGAACGATTTAAGGTTGTTCCGTTTATTTCGTACTATTCTGACATTATTTACGACCGTGGTTGTCTGTTTATTTTCAAGTGTGTAACAAATAAATTGGTACTTTCTACTTCAAAACAAATTATTTGAAATTTTAAAATTATCAAAGGATGTAAGGTTTAAACTCCCTCGTGCAAAATTGACCTTAAATGGATTCGGTAATTTTTTAGGTTCTTTTTTTTTTCATATAAATCTTCAAATGTTTCCTTTGTAGCTTAAAGCGCTCCTGATAAAGGTTAATCCTGAAATGTCCTTCAGACGCTGGCGCAAATATAACATTTAAATCCTGGTATTTATGATGACTTAAGTTGTTTTTTACATGAGCAACACGACGAGTGCCACATGTGATGCAGTATATGCCTACTCTTCCAGAGCACCTGAGAACACACCCAGTTTTGGTGGGAGTTGTGTCTTGTGTAATATTATTTGTCTGTTTGTCTTCTTCTTTTTAGCCATGGCGTTGTCAGTTTATTTTCGATCCATGAGTTAGAAAGTCTCTCTGGTATCCTTCGCCCCTCTTTCACTTAGAACTACTGTTTACATAACGTTACAAGCATTCCTACACAGATGACACATAACGTTTGATCAAAACATCCAAACACATACAGTTACTTTTTATAACAAACCTATTTTCTATATCAATTGAAAGTACACCAGGTTCTGTTTCGTCAAAAATAGTTGTTTTATTAGTTCCATCTGCATTACATCTCATTATCTTTCCTTTTCCATCTTCTGTCCAATATAGATGGTGGTTCACTGAGTCAAATGCTATACCCAATGGACCGTTTGCAGAAACAACAGTTTCAAACTGAACAGTTTGATTATTTGGATAAGGAAATCTTTAGAAGGAGAGTACACACGGATAATAAAAACAACACATTTGCGGAAATAAACAATACTTAATGTGACATAACTATAAAATGACTATGCAGTCATACTACTATTAATATTTATAACTATCCCATGTATATATGCACATACAAATCGTATTGATTTCATTATCTTTAGTTTAACCTTTCATAATACAAGTTACTTAACATATATGCCATCATATTTTTGTACTTCTCTTGACAATATCGTAAAAAGTAAAATCACAAAAATACTAAACGCCGAGGAAAATTCAAAACGGAAAGTCCCTAATCGAAAGCGCAAACGAATGGATAACAACTGTCATATTCCTGACTTGGAACAGGCACAGGCATTTTTCTTATGTAGATAATGGTGGATTAAACCTGGTATGAAAGCTAGCGAAACCTCTCACTTGAATGACAGTTGCATCAAATTTAATAATATTGACAACGATGTGTGAACAAAACAAACACAATAGGTAAAACTGTCACAAATGGGCATACAATAGCAACACGAACCCCAACAAAAACTGAGGGTGATCTCAGGTGCTCCGCAAGGTTAAACACCCGGTGTGTTGCTCATGTTATTTCAAAGCCGGTAAATAGTATAATTCGGTAGGTCACATTCGTACAGCATTTGTTTCCCTAAACTATCATATTTGTATTCATATTGTATGTTTCTCTGTAAACTTGTATATTTAGTGTCTATCAATGTTTTTTTTATAATAAAATCGATACTTTAAATTGTTGTACAAGTTATAAGTGAGTTTTAGTCAAATTTTGTACAAATTGTAATGTGTACAAGCACTTTTTGTACAAATTACAATTTGTACAAAGTACAAATTATAATTTGTACAATTGTTTTGTTCAAATTATAATATGTACAAAATGTTAACTTGTTCGCAACATATATATATATATATATATATATATATATATATATAAGTTACGTCCAAACAAGTGACCACTCTACGATAGATTCATTCATTGGATCTACATTGAAGGTGATACACTGCTGAAATAATTACTCTAAATATCAGCACAACAATGTTAAATCTGCAAATTTGCGGAAACAATTTTATATTCCTCCCTCGTCGGGATTCAAACTCATGCTATTGGGATATTGTGACAAAACTGCATGCACTATGTCCAGTGCTATAAAGTACTCGGCCAACTAGACTGAACTAAACACTCAGCTTTTGTAGCCTAGTGTTACCTTTTCCCGTCAGGATAATCTAAAGTTGTTACACAATACATGTTATATGAGGCATATTTTCGTGTGTACAGTGGGTACAGTGGAACCACGAATCTAAATGTTCAACAAATTATATTTGTTGTAAAGTAATGTATGCAGACTTTTCCAAAACAACGAAATTAAATATCCAAGAAAATTCTAGTTTTCCGAACTCCACGAAAATTAGTACCTACGAAAATAAATGAATCCACAGTAGTTGGACATAAACTATTTTTGTATACTACTAACGGGTATAATTTTGGCTAGGAAATGACATCACTATCATGTTATTGTCTTAATACGAAATACGTGACAACTTCAAGAAGAGGGAAGTAACTTAAACAAATCGTTGAATGATAGTCTTGCACGTTGTCTAACTTGTTGGACTAATCAACTACCTAAGCAATACAACTATATATTTCATTTCTATTAAAACAATACTTTATAATATCTCCGTTCCTTCTTGGAATATACAGATATCTTTCGTCATAATCGTAGGCTAACGAAAAAACATAGTTTCCTGCTACATTAAGAAGTACTTTAACTTCTCCACTTTTCAAATCTATCTCTTTGACATAGCCATAAGTTGAGTACAACAGTTTTTCTTCTATACCTGCAATGCACAGATCATATATGACTTCAAAGTAATTTAAGTTTTTCAAACACAGTGCTTACAATCGTTAAAGAGTATTCGAAACGGATATGGAGAAAAATATATATCGCAAACACATCAATCAAGAGAGATTGTGTGCACCTTTTAACATTTATTGAAAATATATGTGAGTGCAATCTTTAATGGAAACAAAAAATTATAAGATACGCATCATAAACGCAAATTGAGTTGATTTATTAATTATGTTAGTATCAATAACACACTTTAATGTTAACTATTCTCAATAAAAAAAAATGATATGTTTCAAGCTGTCTAAAATATCCAATGAAAAAAAAAGCGAATCTAATGTACCGATGTTCAAGCTTCGGATATCGATTACGTTATAAAAGACCAATCAACCAAAAACTGAAAGAATCAAAATCAATATGTTGACAGGGTTAACGTACTCTGATATACATTCATCATCAACCAAGCAAATGGTTATCAAAGGTATTTAGCTTATGATTTAATACGCCAAACGCGCGTTTCGTCTAATACAAACTAAGTCAAATTTTCACAACACGAAATAGAACACAGTCGGGAAAATTACAAATCAGACAACGATTCGTGGTATTATTCGTTATTTCAAGATCGCTGGGATACAAGAAATGCACACATTAACTGTAGCAGTTACAATCACTCCTTATTTCAGTAACGAAACAAAAATTGATGATGAACATAGGGTTTCCCCTGGGTCAATTTTCTTTTTGGCAACATATTTAAACCTAAAAAATATTTTTCGCCACTTTCATTTTTTTCCAACAACTATAAACATGAACATATTTTTTTTACACAAAAAAATCAGTTTGCATCATTGGTGTCCATTATATTTCTACAAATCTATTTTAATCTACATTGTAATAAATAAACACCTCATAAAAAATATATTTCATTTCGTTTGAAATTGGGGTTTTCCCGTTTGCTATTTGTAATTATTCTATATAGATGGGAACTTGTATAACTAGTTCTGATACTGATTCTGCAACAGTACGTACTATTTATAAAGTTTGATATTAGTTGCATAAGGCACGAGGAAAGCGTTGGCGGTTTCTACGGGTGGAGTGTAATGGTACTATATAAAGTTTGGCATTTAAATGTTTTAGTATCGAAGGTGCTCGCAGTTACGTTTAATCGAAGTTGGTCACATTGATATATGTACAGTTGCTGCTATGTTTATAACATGTATTTATATGTTGTTTGAATCGAAGAAATCTGTACAATAAAGTCAAATAAAATATTGTATCGCAAGATAAAATAATATGTTACTGCGAGCAACTAATCCTATTCCTGTGTTTGTCTTGTTTATAGCCTAGTGAATTTATAATAGAAATACGTTAAATTCGGACGAGTAGGGCGTGGGAGAATTTAAAAAGCATTTATTTAATAAAGGATACAATACAATTGCAATATAGTTCATGAAAAAATCATTTGGAACATCTTGGAACACAGGATTCATCTTCAATAAATTTATCCTATACTTCCCTTCGTTCGAAGGATAATGACTAAAGTCAAAGATTTCTTTTGAATATATACATTTTCTCATAACAGCAGTATTTTTTCCGGACCATCGTTAAAAGAAAAAGTTGAGACGTAAAATTATACATCATACGCGTGCGTCACTTTAAAAATTGTTAGTGCAGTATTCACTTCAAAGCAATTATTTCTATCAAAGTTGTAAATACGTCCTATAGGTCACAGGTGACGTCTTTTAACCACCATTCAATTAAACAATACTTTCAACATCATCATTAATTGGTCCATAATTACATAATAGTTATTGAAAAACTGGTCATTATCGTGATATATGGACTGCCCAAAGGACAGTGCTATTGACTAAGACAGCGATAATTACTTTTCGTTATCGCAGTCAATACCACTGTCCTACGGGAAGTCCATGTATCATGATAATGACCAGTTCTTCAATAACTATAATATGTTTATTTCATTGAGGAACTATGTTTTTAAAAATTCTCATAAATTCAAATTCAAAACAAACTTGAGTTATTGTACGATTTCTATAGGAAAGAGTATGGACCAGTCATAGTGATAACTATAAGTCACTACCATTCATTTTATTTTTAAGTGCATTTTTTTAGTATATAAAAACAATATGAAGTTTTCTATAATTTTATAATAAACGAAAACATATGGTAAAGAATTCAATAACTTCAATATAAACATGATAAAATTGAAATCAGGCAAATATTTTATTAAAGGGACATCTCTCTAAATAGAGAAACCAAGCCCCACCAGTCATTAACATGTACAAGTCTGTTAACGACCGGTTTTCCGGTCCGTTCATTTCTGTTAATGACCGATAGACATTATTACTGAAGAATAAAGAATGTCATGTGGCCCCTTGTTATCCAATAAGAGAAGCTAATTCTTAACCGATATGAAATAATTGCCGATACAATTTAACCAACTAATTATTGATTTCCTTTTTTTTTTAAAACGTAACGAGTTCAAAGAGAATTCCCAGTAGTTTCTGATCAGGGGGAAAGACCGAGAAACCTGGAAAATATTAACAAAATAGAGAAAGACAAAATCTTATATTTTTTTCGTCAAATTCTTTCGCCAATAATGATTATCAATCGCCACAAGTTTTGTTTTTCCCCAACAGAAACCCTGGATGAACACATACAAGTGTGAAAAAAGGGTTATAGAGATTCAAAATGCTTGCAATACAATTGATAAGAAATATAAATGTTTCTCGATTAAATTCAACGAGCGAACGTTTAACTGAAAACGTTAAATAGATTTAATAAATTGATAGAGCAATAATAACACGTAGAAAAAATATATCAGATTAGAATGATCAATTTTCCTTCTTAAGATGATATTATGATGATGATGATGATGATGATGATGGATAATAAAATGATATGCATAACATACTTACAATGCACAGCACACCAACTGAGTACCGAAATCATGACCAACAAAGTCTTGTGCTCCTTCATGATGCTAACAAGAAAATAACACAGTATTAAGAATACGGCTGTCCTGGAACGTATAAATGAAATTTATGTATAATTCAGAAATGTACTCGATAGTAGAAGATGCAATTATGATTTTTAATAATAATATGTCCCTTTCATTTCCTAAATTTCTGTAATGTATGCAAGTCATTGGTTCACACAGTATTATGAAATATATACTTTGAAACACATAGTGCAGTAAGTGCCATACTCAGAACCAAATATAAGATCCTTTTTTTTTCAGATAAAAAAAAAATAATAAGGAAAGTGAAATAGTGTCAAAATTTTACGACAGGGCATTGACATCTACATAAAAGAGGAGATTTTGCGGGAAATTTACAAAATCGTTTACATTTCAACAAATTTAGGGCTAAGAAACAAACAGTGTAAGCTTCAACAATATTCAAGTCAGATAATTTAAAAAAGAAAAAGGCACAAATAAAGCTTAAAAATCATTACCAGAAATTTTAGATAATGTAGCCTCAAAAATATTTATAATAAACATTCCAAAAAGCATAGAAATTAAACAAAAAAGAAACCCACGGTCAGACACTTCATTTAGAGATTTATAAAGTAACATTTACAATTCACGTACAAACACATTAAGTTCAAAATGATCTGGTGACGTTTGATGTAAGTGTTATCCCGTCAAATCAACAAAATGTGCTTAAAATTTTCTATGTTGTGTTTTATTCTAAGTTGTTTGTCTTTTGGTCTTTTTCTGTTTATTACTAAGGAGTTGCACGAATCTGTTCATTGTAAAATTGCGTTGATCGCGAATTATTGCATTTTAATTGCGTAGCTGCCTTACAGTACATGGTGTTGCAATAGGATGTTCAGATGGATATATGGTATCGCCAAGTAAGTAACAATCACGAGGAAACGGAAATATCTCGTGTGGACTGATCGCATCTATCAATCTGTAAGTCATCGCGTTATTGTTATGACCTAGGAAACCAGATTTGATGTATCTTATTTTCTTTCCTGTGTCTTCTTTCCTGTGTCTATTATGATTTGCGTATGGATACAGTTTACATGACGATGTCCACTATAAAACAATGCCTGTTTTTCGGTTAGGCGATTTATTCTATGCGAGGTGCCATCAAAATATCCAACTGCTTCATCTGGCCATGCACCCTTCAAAGATTCCCATTCTTCAGCCGAAGGTCTTGTTATCATTGATCTAAAAGCTTGAAGACGAATTAGCCAAATTTCATGGATCGTTTTAAAAACTAGTTTTGCTAACACCAGACATCAAAGCCATTTGTTCAAATGTAGGGTAACACCTTAACCAAATCAAAACCATTAAAAGTTTTTTTTGCCAGCTTATAAGTACCGCATCTTAATTTCTTATTCTGCTTAGCGTTTTCATGAATATCAAATATACTTCATTAAAACTATATACTGTTTCACCGGTATTTCCGAAGAAGTTGAATTCATGTCTTATACACTGCTGGTAAGTATCATTTCCTTGATATGGGTATAAACTTTCATCAGCTAGTAATCGTGCTCGAAAGTCTTTTCTACATCAAATATATAAATTATGAAACTATTGAAAATAACAACATCAGTCTCTGCATTTCCATTAACCTTTTTTTTTATTGTTTAAAAAAAAGCTGTGGTATTAAGGTAATTAATGTAAGGCCTTTTCTTATGTTCGTTTTGGAATGCGTTGTTGTTTTTCTCGTTGATGGGGTTAACAGCATCAAATAAAAAATTATTTTCCTCTGAAACCCAAATAAACCCAATATATATTGTTTTCTTTGTCTCAATATTATTTTGAAAATCGAATATATTAAATAAAATAAATATAAGCATTACTGCACATCACATTTTAGATATATTTCGTTGAATTTAACTTTGCTGTTGTGGTAGATTCATGTATTGTTCAAACAATATAATCACGATAAAGGAGTAAAGGGGTTGAGTTAATTAAACATTATAAACATTTACCATTTATCTCACTATTTTTTTGGTTTCGGTTTTGGTTTCGGTATCGGCTTATGGTGAACATGTCTAATTGTAAAAGAAAAGCTGAATTTTTGATATGGTGTTGTTACTTAACATTTGCTAAAACAATAGGCTATAAAGACCTCGCATATTTTATAGAAGATTCTTTGGTCATAGCTTTGATGTCAAATCAAAGATAATATTCTAAATTGTTACGTGTTTTATAAGGGCAAGTGACAGTAACTTCAAAATGTATAACAACTCACTATAGAAAAAGGGATTTAAATTTAAAACGCCAGGTGCGCATTTCGTCTACAAACGACACATCAGATATGCTTAATCTTAAGGAAATGCCGTTTTAAGAAAAACGATTTAGAACACCAATGGGAAAACAAAGTAGAATCATGGGTAGTAACGTCGTCATATCAAGGAGTGTTAAGTATAGTAATAACGTCATAGTTTGCTTTAGTAAATTTGAATAATAAACAATAATAAAATGTAATCATTGCATATTTTCCTACAAGAAGCTATGCACATACATTCTCTTAGTAAATAGCAATTTGCAAGCTATCGTGAATGCACATTTTGTATAAAGTATAAATAATTTGAGGCATACTATGCTTTTGGGCGACAATTTTCAACGTGGGTTTATTATTTTTCCCACCTTAAAAAATGTCTTATATTATTATTCGTTATATGTCATAGTTGCTATTATATACGGTTGATTCATTGATATTCGTTGGATACTAATTTTCGTCGATTTCGCGAGTACACTGGAACCACGAATTTAAATGTTCAACGAATTACAAGTTTTCTAACGGAATGAATGCTGACTTTGCGAAAACAACGAAATTAAATATCCACGAAAATGCTAGTTTTCCTCAATTCACGAAAATTGGTACCTACGAAAATTTATGGATTCACAGTATTCTGAAAAAAAGATCGCCGCTTTTGCTAACAATTTAATATTTATGAACATTTAGTGTCATGGTTTGCTTAGTTGTGTCATTTTGTGTTCAATATTTCAATTATGTTATTCGTACACAATAGAGAGAAAATGATATCGGTATCCATCTATGACACAAAAAAACAGTACATACACAGCAAAAAACACACAAAGGAACAGCGCTATTATTGCTGTCCTTGTCTCAATTTTACATTGATAAATTCATCACGGAGCATAAGATACATGTGAAATAGAAAGACATGTGTGAAATTACGATTGAATGCTATGCTTTTGACTTGATCAATATCGAAATCTTAAAAATGTATTTCCATTTACATTTCTGCTGTCGATACCTCCTTCCCTTCATTAAGGTTTTTATAACAAATATTTTACTGTAGATTAACGTACTTATTTCTCACTTGAATTTTAAATGTCTAGTATTGATATCGCTGAACATATCATAAAAAAATATACTTCAATACTTTAAAGGTAAATTCGTTTTATATCGTGCAGTAAAGGATCAATGACACAAAAGAAAAGATTGTAAGTATTAAAGTTACCAAATACAGTTCATAAGTCTCGACGAAGATAAAACTAAATGACTGTGTTACAAGTAGCTTAATGTTATGACATGTCAGAAATAATGATAGTCTGCATTTGTGAATTCTGTGTGAAAGTTTTCTATATGTATCTTGTCTGTTTTAAGTACCATTGTAGTTTTTTTTTGTTTTTTACAAAATATTTAGGAAGATTCTAAAACTTGTAAACATGAAAGAACCACGTAGAAAAAAAAATTCCTTGTTGACTTCCATTTAAAGTTATTTGCCTACATTCAATGACATTTTGTGTGTGTTTATTTTAAAATAATTTATAACAACAGGGTAAAAGCTTGACTCCTTGATAAATAGTTGAACGACAAAAAAAAATTAAATACTTTTCCATTCTCAATATACTTATGATGATGATAGTATAAATTCATTTCAGTTTGTGAAATGTAAACAGTTATATATATAACGTTTCAAACAATTCTCCAATATATTAAGTTACATAACATGCATGTAGATTTGATATAAATGAAAGAAAGTCAATGAGACATAATTTTGATTTTGCTTTTGCTACGAATTCATGCAAATATTATTTTGGGGTATTAGTTTCAGAGTTATTATGTGACATCCCGTGATAATTTGAAAAAAAATATATGTCTAGAAGCCGAAATATTTGCATATCAAACATCTACTATAATATTGAAGAGGGGATAAAAAAGAACCTAAAGTATAGCGAAATCAGGGCAAGGAATCATAGATTTGCATGAAGGAGATATATTCCTTAATTTAACATATTTTCAAAAATTGTTCAGCAAAAAAGATTAAATCCAAGTAACATTCGTATTTTCAACAATCATGCAGCTGAAGTATCAAGTCAGTGGTAGTAGAAACATAAACAGTTTATCAAAAACCTAATGTGCATTTCCACAAATAACGTCAGCAATGATCGAGACCAACATATTGAAATATCTAAAAATATCATTCAAATGATTAAAAGCGGATCAAACAAAAAGGACAAGAATTATAGCTAATTTTGGACAACGAGCTGAAGCTTTGCAAGAGGGAGACAAATTTCTTAAATCAAAATTATTTCCAAAATTTTATAACATCAAATTATATTCAAATACAATTTGTATTTTCGTTAGGGTATTGGCTACTGGGGTGATGATATCCCCGTGCAGCAGCCCAGCAGCAGAGGTAACAAAAACAGTACCTAATAAAGACAGCTGAAAAAAAACCTTTCTTCTCGTTATAGATGTCAGATAACACCTGATGTTTGTACAAAAGCTACAAGGAAAAACGTAACGTCAAAATTTACTACTTCATACAGGGATGTTTTTGTCAAGTTCTATGTATAATACAATGTAATTCAAATATTTATTTGTCAACACCATTTTTCTTTAGATTCAGAAAAAAATATTTATAAAAAGAACCATGTAAACTCTGGTGTATTCAGTATAAGTCTTCATTCGGAAAAGCATTATATTTGTATCAGTACGACTTACATTCATAAATAATCAGACGTAGTCATATACTTAATCAGTTTAACCTCAATAATAAAAGATGCTATGAACTAAAAATATGTTGTACGTGAGAACACAGCTTTCTTATCCGTTCATGAAATCCGAGATCGTGGATTTTTGTCCTCTCTTTGTTTCAAACGAACAAGGATTGTTGTTTTATAGGGCAAAGACACAAACATTTTTTTTTAACATATTATTATAATCTTGAATGTCTAGCTATTTTACGAAACTTAGATATTACGTCATACTTCTACTATTTTCATGTTTTGTCTAGTCTCTATCTTCAATAATGCAGCATAAAAGTACATAAAAATATGCAACAATATTTTAAAATCACTTTATTTTGCTATAAAATAACGGGGTTATAGATGTTTTTGCATCGCGGGTTAAAAAAATGTAATCATTAAATGCTTTTCTCTAAAAGAAGCTATGCAAATATATTTCCCTTAGTAAATAGCATTGTGCAAAGCTATTGTAAATGCACATTTTGTAAAATAAATATATCAGTAATATAAGGCATACTACGCTTCCATGCGACAATTTTCAAAGTTGGGTTATTATTTTTCCCACATTAAAAAATCTCTTATATTATTATTCGTTATATGTAAAAATTGCTATTATATGCTGTTGATTCATTTATATTCCTTGGATACTAATTTTCGTCGATTTCGTGAGTACAGCGGAACCACGAATTTAAATGTTCAACGAATTACAAGTTTTCAAACGAAATCAATGCTGACTTTGAGAAAACAACGAAATTAAATGTCCACGAAAATGCTAGTTTTCCTCAATCCACGAAAATTGGTATCTACGAAAATTTATGAATAACAGTATCCTGAAAAAAGATCGCCGCTTTTGCAAACAATTTTATGTATTGATGGAAATTTAGTGTCATGGTTTGGTAAGTTATGTCGCTCAATATTTTAATTATGTTATTCGTACAAAATAGAGAAAAGATGATATCGGTATCCATCTATGACACAAAAACAGTACATACACAGCAAAAAACACACATATAGAAAAGGAACAGCGCTATTATTGCTGTTCTTCGTCTCAATTTCACAATGAGGAATTCATCACGGAGCATATGATACATGTGAAATAGAAAGACATGTATAGCATAACGATTGAATGCTATGCTTTCACTTGATCAATGTCAAAGTCTTAAAAATGTATTTCCATATAGGTATGTTACTAATTTACATTTCTGCTGTCGATACCATATGCTGAAAAATGTAAATTTATTTTTTATTCTTGAGACACCTTATAAGCATTTAACTATGGAGGACTTATTACTATCGGTTTAATAAATAAGCTACTAAAGATGACACTAAAAATTAAATGATGTGGTGTGATTGCCAATGATACAACCAATGATATCCACTAGATACAAATTCTGAATATGAGTGAGGAATGCACTAAGCGTGTTGGTTTATTAAAAAGAAAACAGTGCCAGTATCTAAAATTAAAATAATGCCACTATATGTTTTTGACTGATTCGGTCCACAAATAATATTTCATATACAGATGAACCGATGATTTATATTATTTTTTAATCTAAATGAATGACTTGAAATCAAACAGACCCGGACAAATCGTAACCAAATAACTTAATGTGGTTCTGGTCTATTCATATTCATATTTATATTTATATTTATATTTGGTCTAACGACTATCAACAGTCTTCTGAGGTAATTATATCATGTATATGGCGTCTTGTCTAGAATACTCACGAAATGCTGATATATTAACACGTTTCCTTGCAGTGTTAATTGTTTCTTTTGGACTTTTAGAAATTTGGATTTATGTTTAAGAATGTTTTAAATCAAATTGGAGAATGTGAGCCAAATTGGTGATCTTCAATTTAATAGCTAATGCACAAGTAAGAATTGTAAAAAAAAACAAATATAACGAAACTGAGTCTTGAAGATGCGATGTTACGGTGACGTTACTAAATATGTTGAAGTACAAAAAAAAAAATTACATATCGATAGCACCTTACGAACCTTTAAGACACTTTCAAAATATTTCGACACATTAAAATGTTAAAAACAGGATAAACGATAGCCTCTACACAAAAACACAAACAAACAAAAATACTAAATTAGAATTAAAAAAACCAACTATACCTTAGGGTTATAAGGTAGTGAGACACTTTAATGTAGGAAATGTCACGGAATTTACTACCTTTTTGGTTGAATGGTTTTGAAATGCCTGTATGAAGTCATTAATATTACAGTTGTGTTTGAGTCTGATGTTTTCATCATTTGATACTGAACTTCAACACGGAACCTTGGCTCAAACCGAACAGCAAGCTATAAAGGGTCCCACAAAATTACTAGTGTAAAACCATTCAAACGGGAAAACCAACGGTCTAATCTATATAAAAAACGAATAAACGAGAAACACTTATGAACCACATCAACAAACGACAACTACTGAACATCAGATTCCTTTATGCCCGAATTGAGACAGTGGATATATAAAAGAATACCTATTCAAGCGTAATGTTATAACAACATATTAGTCTTCTTTTGTATTTCAGACTTACCTGATCTCTCTTTATCGATCTCCTTTCCTTCACTAACGTTTTTTATAATAACTATTTTACTTTAGATAAACGTACTTATTTCTCATCTGAATGTTTAAATGTCTAGACTCGTAATGATATCGCTAAATACATCATACAAAAACATGACTAAGCGGAGTGTCTGATTAATACATGATGAACATAACTTATCAGGAAATATTTATATCTTAAATCACAACTTAAACGCTTAATCTATTTTTGTACAATAAGCTAGCATCCAAATATTCCCTTATAAGTTATGTTCATCATGTATCCTTCAGAAATTGTTCAGAATATAATCATATTCTAAAATATATCAACACAATAATATAATTTGCAATGTTAGCTTCAAATTTTATTGTTTCGAAAAACAAAGTGTATTTACCTATAGATAATTCAAAATTAACGAATTGACGTGATTATTGTAAATTAAATGATCTTTACAAACGATAATGTAATTGATTGATCAATTTAACCCACCATTTAATAAATCATGTCAAAATATAACTGTGAAGATTTTGTTTAAGTTTTAATCAGTGTACACAAAAATATTAATTAAATTTCTTAAATTATCAGACAATTTCTAAATTCATAGCTATTTAGAAGGATGTACTGATTCACCTAATTTTCAAGTTACCAGTGGTATTTATCAAAATAATTTGTCAGGATACAGTCATAAACATTGCTTTATTTATTTCTGCTGACAGAAATGATTAAATTATTGCAAATTTAGATAGATAATATAGATATTATCATATCAAAACACGCGAATCCACTAGTAAACTGCAAAACCTAATTTATGAAATGTTCCTAGAATTTTCATGTAAATACCATTGTACACCCATTATTTTTTTTTCGAACCAAAAAACATTTTTGTCTTACCAAAAGCAAAGGATTAAAACTTTGGATGTTAACTAAATAAAATATGATCTACGAATATAATATAAATTTCCTTATGTTCGCGTTTATAAATCAAATAGTGTTCCAATATATTATAATTATATTATAATTCAAATTATAACAGTTATCGACACTCGTATGCATGAATACATTTCAGAAAAGTTTTGGAAAAATAGGGATTCTATGTCGATATGTTACGTCGCGGAATTTAATTCTTTAAATAATTTAAAACGACGTCTGGCGGCATTATGTTTAGAGTGTGAAATACAAATTAATGGATTAAGGGTTAGTAATAATAAGCGTTATGTTCACGAAAACCTTTTTTTTCACCATACCTTTAAATCATCATTTAAACTAGTTTATTCCTATTACAGATAACTAATACATGTATAATGATTTTGTAACTTTTAAACGAAAGTCGATTGCATGTACCTACCAGTATATTGGGAGATTGTCCCATGTGACAGAAACATTGTTAACCTGTTCCTGCTCGAATGTTGCCCATTTTGGAATAGCGGGAAAATAGAAATAAAAGAAGATATTTGTAAAACGCTGACTTGATTAAAACGAATTTCAAAATTAAATAGGTAAACATGTACGTGTCTTTAAAAATAATGCTGTGTGGATGCAGTAGAATGTGTCCCCGTGCTTGTGGTGTATGCCCTAATATTTTTCAATTATGGGTTGTTTACACTAGTAATTTTTAGGACCCTTTATAACTTCCTGTTCGGTTTCAACCAAGGCTCCGGGTTGAAGACCGTACTTTGACCTATAATGGTTTACTTTTATAAATTGTGACTTGGATGGAGAGTTGTCTCATTGGCACTCATACCACATCTTCTTATATCTAAAAAATTCCAAATCTGTATAAGAAAGATTGACTTCTGTCAGAAACTGTTTTAAAGATTTCAGCAGAACTGTTCTGCAAACTGTTCTTAAATAGTTTTCCTAAAGTTTTTAAGAGAGGGGCAAACGACACGAGAGGGACATTCAAACTTATAGATCGAAAATTAACTGACAACGCCATGGCTAAAAAAGAAAAAAAAACACAAACAGACAAATAATAGTACACAAGAAACAACATAGAAAACTTTTAAAAGAGGTTATAACGGACCCAGAATGAACATTAAGTTGCTCTAATCAGATTGTATTGAAGAACTTTAGTATCATGAGGAGAATTATTCTTCGTTGGATTTATTTTTCTATTGTCTAAATTTTAACAAAATTCGGATTAATTCCTAGTCCGATATTTCATTTTGTTATGACATAACCTTGATATATATTTTTTAGATATAATTTTGTCACGGAATGTTTACTTGTACTGTTTTACAAAACTAATGTCAATTCTTTCTGATTATAAAACTGTTCTTTTAAGTATCTTTCCAGCCATTGAAAGCAATTTGAAATATTATTCACAGTTTAAAAAAGGAGCGAAAGATACAAGAGGGACATTCAAACTCATACAGATGGGTGTGGTCCTAACCTGTACAGCTAGTTAACTTGATAACCAGTCATTTAACAGTAAGTTAACCTGTGACGGGATTTAGGACTGCTCTGACCAGTCCTAGGACCACAATCTAGTTAACTTGAAAAGCGGACTTGGTCCTAGGACTGTTTTTTATGTCTGCCGAAAAGTTAACTTCGAAACCAGTCCTGCCAAAAGTTAACATAAGTAAACTTGGATGTTGACTACTCCGATCGAACCAGTTAACTTGTAACCAGGACCACTCTACATCGATTTTTAAAAAAAATATTGTTTAATGTCTTTGTTTCTTGGTATGAATATATAAAAATAAAGTAAAATTAATACTTCCGTGATAAAAACACGATTAAATACATATATTTGTAAATAAAGTACGCATAAATCTTTGCATGTTAAACAAATTTTTCCGTGACTGCCTTTCTATAAATTAAAAAACAGATATTGGTTACAATGCTAACTGGCATTGGATATATATTCCAATACATATCAAATTCTTTAAATCGTATAAACCATATTTGCACTTTATTATGTAAATCTATACAGCCGCATAGTATATCAGCATTATTTTTATGTCAGGATACAATATCTCAAACAAAATGACAGCAATATTGGAACACAATAACTAGAAAATTTTGTCCGCATAAATATAGAGTGCCAGCATGTCCTTCTTTTGTTTAATATATTGATACATATAAAAAAATCATTAGTTTTGATACCGCAGGCTGACTCGTACGACAAAATTATTTGACCGCATCAACCAAAACTTACCGTAATTGTACTTTATCATTTAAATCTTAACAAATGACAGCAATATTGGAACACAATGACTACAAAATTTTGTCTCGCATCAAAATTTCAGTAGTTTTGATACCTCAGATTGACTTCTATAACAAAAATATTTGACCGCATCAACCAAAAGTGACCATATTTGCACTTTATTTTGTAAATCTATATAGCCGCATAGTAGATCAGCAAGATTTTTACGTCAGAATCAAATTTATAATACAAATGACAGCAATATTGGAGCACAATAACTACAGAATTGTGTCCGCATAAATTTAGGGTGCCAGCATGTCCTCCTTTTGTTCAATATATTGATATGTTACAAAATTTCAGTAGTTTTGATACCTCAGGCTGACTTGTATAGCAAAATAATTTGATTGCATAAACCAAAATTGACCATATTTGCACTTTATTTTGTAAATCTATATAGCCGCATAGTAAATCAACACTATTTTCATGTCAGGATAGAATATCTAAGACAAAATGACAGTAATATTGGAACACAATGAATACAAAAATTTGTCCGCATAAATTAAGAGTGCCAGCATGTCCTCCTTTTTCAATATATTGATACGTTAAAAAAATGTCAGTACATTTGATACATCAGTCTGACTCCTATAACAAAAATATTTGACCGCATCAATCAAAAGTGACCATATTTGGACTTTATTTTGTAAATCGATAAAGACTCATAGTAAATCAGCAATATTTTTATGTCAACATTAAAGGTATAATACAAATGACAGCAATATTGGAACACAATAACTACAAAAGTTTGTCAGCATACATTTAGATTGCCAGCAAGTCCTCATTTTTTCCATATATTGATACGTAACAAAATTTCAGTACTTTTGATACCTCAGGCTGACTCATATAACAAACATATTTGACCGCATCAACCAAAAGTGACCATATTTGCACTTTATTTTGTAAATCTATATACATGATATAACCGCATAGTAAATCAGCAATATATTGATGTCAGGAATGAATGTATAATTCAAATGACAGCAATATTGGAACACAATATCTACAAATATTTGTCCGCATAAATTCAGGGTGCCAGCATGTCCTCCTTTTTTCAATATATTGATACGTAACAAAATTTCAGTATTTTTGATACCACAGGCTGACTCCTATAACAAAAATATTTGACCGCATCAAACAAAAGTGACCATATTTGCACTTTATTTTGTAAATCTATATACATGATATAGCCGCATAGCAAATCAGCAATATTTTTATGTCAGGTTTAATGTATAATACAAATGACAGCAATATTGGAACACAATAACTACAAACACTTGTCCGCATAAATTCAGAGTGCCAGCATGTCCTCTTTTTATTCAACATATTGTCTCGCAACAAAATTTCAGTAGTTTTGGTACCTCAGGCTGACTCCTAAAACAATTTTTTTGACCGTATCAACCAAAACTGACCATAATTGCACTTTATTTTGTATATCTATATAGCCGCATAGTAAATCAGCAATATTTTGATGTCAGGATTAAATGTATTATACAAATGACAGCAATATTGGAACACAATAACTACAAAATTTTGTCCGCATTAATTAAGGGTGCTAGAATTTCCTCCTTTTATTCAATGTATTAATACGTAATAAAATTTCAATAGTTTTGATACCTCAGGCTGACTTGTACATCAACATTTTTTGACCGCATCAACCTAAACTGACCATATTTGCACTTTATTATGTAAATCTATATAGCCGCATAGTAAATCAGCAATATTTTTTTGTCAGGATTGAATGTGTAATACAAATGACAGCAATATTGGAACACAATAACTACAAACATTTGTCAACATAAATTTAGAGTGCAAGCATGTCCTCCTTTTTTCAATATATTGATACGTAACATATTTTCAGTACTTTTAATACCTCAGGCTGACTCCTATAACAAAAATATTTGACCGCATCAACCAAAAGTGACCATAGATGCACTTTA